TATATTTTTTATCGTTTTGTTCTTCTGATAATCTTTTTAGGTTTATCTTCAAATCACTAAGGAATGTTTATCTCTGAATCTTTATATTTGATTTCTGATTTTTTTTCCTGATCATTTGGCTTAGCCTTTTTATTGTAAAATAATGCACAAATACAGAAAACGACACAAAAGAAATGTATAGCTTTTCGTGGATTATTATAAGGTAAACACCCTTGTAACCACTGTCCAGGTCTAGAAAGGACTTTGCCAGCCACTCAGGAACACCGTCTCATTCGCAGCTTCTTTTTCCCTCTTTCCAAAACCAACGACTGTCCTTTTATAGTCATTGCTTCATCACTTCCTTACACTTCTGTACGGTTTTATCACCCAACTGTGCATCCTTAGGCATTATAATTTAGTTTTAAGCCCATTAGAAAAAAATGATACCTTAAGTTTTTAATCTATGGGTTAAAAAACTATAAGGAAAACTCCATCTTTTTTGCTTCCTTACATTTGACCTTTTGAAGAACCAGGATGTTTGATTTGTGGAGTTTCCTCCAGTCTGGGTTTTGCCAGTTGTTTAATTGTAGTGCAGTTCAACTTAGTACTCTGCCTTTGGCATTTTATGTAAATTGGCACCTGGATCCAGATGCTTAAATCAAACTTTTTTTTTAATCACTTCGGCAAGACTATAGGTAGTGTTGTGTTTTTTCATCAGGAGGCACATAATGTCTGGTCGTCTCTACTTTTGTGATGTTAGCTGCTATTGATGCTCAATATCTAAATGCATTAATTCACTGGGAATTGCAAAAATGGTGTTATTCCAACTGTCATTCCATTTTTATTTATTAGCTGAAATATTTTTATACCACTATTGGCTATCCAGTTTTACAGTTCATAAAGGAAAGGCAGGATAGTGTCTTGGTTTTTTCCCTTTATTTTCTAATTTTCAAAATATGTAGATTCCCTGCTATCCTTGGAAGGTGACTAATTGATTTTTTTTTTAATTGTAGTAAGTATATATGTATAAATAACAAAACATCTGCCACACCAACATTTTTTACACGTACAATTCTGTGACGTTAATTATATTCATTGTGTTGTGCACCACCATGCATTTCCAAAATTTTTCATCACTCTCTACAGAAGCTCGCTGCCACCACCACCACCACCACCCCCACCCCCCGATCAGAAACTCCCTTTTCCCTTCTCCCTCCTGCCTCTGGTAGCCACTAATAAAATCTGGTCTCTCTCCATTTGCCTGTTCTAGATATTTCATGTAAGTGGGATCATACAGTATGTGTCCTTTTGTGACTGACTTATTCACTCAGCATAATGTTTTCAGGGTTCCTTTTTGTAGCGTGTATTAGGACTTCATTTCTCTTTATGGCTGAGTAATATTCAATTGTGTGTATATACCACATTTTGTTTATCCATTCATATGTTGGTGGACACTTGGGTTGTTTCCACCTTTTGGCTGTTGTATCCAGAGTTCTTTTGACATGAGCCTTGTAGTCTTTGCTAACTTCCCTGCTATCTGTAATGACAAAATATCCAGACTCATACACTTCCTTACCCAGACCTAGAATCAGCCATTTCTCCAAGAAGCCCTAGTTTCTTTTAGTGGAAATTGTGTTCCAACTCCACAGTTGAACTCCTTGTGGGCAGTGGGGACGCTTATTGCCATCTGGTTGGTCGTTGTTTTTAGGCCTTTTCAAAACCAAAAAACCAAACCCATTGCCGTCGAGTCAATTCCAACTCACAGTGACTCTATTGGACAGAGTAGAACTGCCCCATAGGGTTTCCAAGGAGCACTTGGTGGATTCAAACTGCCGACCTTTTGGTTAGCAGCCATAGCTCTTAACCACTATGCCACCAGGGTTTCCTAGGCCTTTTCTGTGCACATAAAATACTTCATAAGCTCACACTGATACTTCTAATTAAGAGCCTCAGGGTTTTTACTGAACTTTCTTTTCTGTATGTCTTCTTTCACACTAAGAATCCTGGTTCTTTAAGGGAATGATAGAATATCTCATGATTATTCATGTTCACTGTTGGAGCATATAGCTGTTACATATCATATTCTCCCTTTTAACCTTATTTAAACTTGCTTTTCTAAGTAGCTATATGTTTAATGCTCACCACCAGTTCTTAAACCAACGTCTCTGGTTATTTTGGTCCGAAGCTTATTCTCTAGTTCCAGAGGTAGCAAAACTTTTCTGAAGAGGACTGGATAGTAAATATTATCACATATTCTGTGTGTATGTGTTTGGTGTGTGTGTGTGTTTTTGTGTATTTAACAGCCCTTTAAAAATGTAAAAGCCATTCTTAGCTCAAAGACCCCATACAAAATCAGGCCTCTGGCTGCAGTTTGTCAGCCGCTGTTGTAGTAGATTCTTAAAGTGTTAAGTATTCCATGAGTTCTTGTATACTGATAAATTGTTCTTTTTATACTTCAGAGTCAGTTTTGCGAGATATAAAATCCTTGACTAACATTTTCTTTCCTTGTGTGTTTTAAATGTGTTGCTTCATTTTCTTCTGGCATGAAGTGCTGCAGTTGAAATCTGATGATAATCTAATTTTATTTTATTCTTATAAGTCACTTGCTGTTCTTGCCTAGATGCCCAAAGGATTTTTTTTTTCTCTTCTTTTTCTTCTTTACAGCCCAGTTGGTATTGGTCATTTTGAGTTGATATTCTTAGGTATGCAATGTGTGTTTTCAATATATAGTTTTCAGGTATTTTGTTTTTTTAGCAAAGTTTTCTCGATTTATAGTTTTTAGTTCTTGTTTTGCTCCTTTGCATTTGTTCTCAACTGCAAGAGCTCCTATTATCCATACGTTGGATCTTCAGTATTTGCCCTTTTGTCTTAAATCCTTTATCATTTCTTTCTTTTGTTTCTGATTTTTTTCCTGTTGCCTCATTTCTGAGTTTTCTAATTCTCATTTATGCTATTCTTTCTTGTCATGGTGTACAGTTTTGATTTGTTTTATGGGCATGTCTTTCTGCCATGTTTTCATTGTCTGAATGACTGTTACTCTGTTCCTTATTCTCTTTATGTGAAATTGGTTTTTCTAAATTTTTAGAAGGAAGTGTGATTCAGGATAGTTATTATGACTTCAGATAACTCCTCAAACGTTGGAATCCTATTGTACTCTACTACCCTATTTTTTCACTTTAATTTTCACATGGTCCTTACTTTTTATCACAATAACAATCCAAAGACCCAGCCTGGCAAAGATATGATGCCATCAAAAGGAATGTAGAGTGATCCTGTTGAAACTGAGCTAGTAGTTCACCTGGAGCCTAACAGATGTCAAATACCAGTTTATTTCAAATTTAAAATAATCCCACAGTACCCCTGTAAGTTTGCTGTGGTGTCCTGGGACACTTCGGCACACAGTTTGGGGGTCACAATTGCAGGTGATACTGATGCTGCTGATCTTGGAACCACACTTTGAGAACCACTAGGACATTTAACAGCTTTTTTTTTAAAAAAAAAAAAAGCTAGAAGTGCAAGAAGAAAAACTTCAAAGTTGTATTGCCAGCCAAGGATAAAATTTCTTCCTCTGGACCCATGTAGTCAGACAGGCAGGCAGAGCAATCAGACTAAATTGAATACATTGAAGTCACACCGTTTGGAAGGATGTGTGTTTACTTGCTTGCAGAAACACGTACATTTCAACGTATGTTGGGAAAATTGTTATGTTACTTTGTCTTAGTCTATCTAGTTTCCTTACTGAAAAAATAAAATAAAAAATTAACAAAACTATTCTGAGTTGTGGAAAAGGAATAATACAGGGCATACTTACATGTTTGTTGATCTTGAGGTTCAAGGACATTTGGTGATGAGTGCTTGAATTTGCTTTTGTGATCTGCCACAGTGAATTTGATTGCCTGCCAGTTTCTGATGCGGTCACAGCCTGTCAACATATTTTATAAAGAAAACTTTGTGTCTTTCAAGAGAAGGCAAAGATACAACATGGTAGGGAAATCCAGATTGCTTGGTATCAGGATTCATCATACACAGATCTTGCCAGAGTTGTAGGTTGCTCCAAGTAAAACTTGCCCCTAATTTATAATGTAATGGAAAGAAAGCACAGTTGATCTCCAGAAGAGCTTTCAACTGCTTACAAGTAAACTGACAGGTACAGCTTCCCTCAGGCTACTTAGTTGAAGATTGTACTCTATTCTCCTTAATGAAGTATAGTCTGCTGGGATAAAAATGCTCTTGAAGACAATGTGACTGGTGCTTCCGGCACCTTTCCTCACTTCTTTTTCCAGGAGCCCAGGAAACATGGGCAACTCATGAGAAGTTGGTGTCCTGAGTGGAAACTTGCTAGGTGAACAAAATCAACTGTGTTGTACCCTTCCCCCGTTTCTGGATTTTTTAAAAAAATTCATCAGTTAATCTTAGATTATTGACTGTATTGCTCATTGTTCAGAGTTCTACAGAAAGTCAGAACCCTGATTTACAGTTACCATCTAAGGAAAATGGAATATGGATCCACTCCAGCCATTACTTTCCATAACAGAAGCATCAGTATAGATGACGTGGCTAGAGCAGCAGCCTGTTACAACTTAATCTTTGCTTCAGGAGTCACACAAGCTTTCTAACATTTGGCTCTTTACAAACTAGTCTCCAAGTCTGTGTAGAAAAGGAGTGCATGTTCTGTTTAGTCATGCTTTCGTAAGACTAGGTCTACAGAGTATAAAGACAAACCCTAGAAGAGGTCATAAAGATCAAAGTATTTCTCAAAGAATTAGTTATCTTAATTCATCAGGTACCAGTTTTGACAGTAGTATTTATATTGCTTGTCCTAGTAGGAAGTAGAACCTGCAAACTTCTTTAATCCATCTCTGTGGAAATGGCTTTATATGTGAACATGGCAACATTGCCCTAAATTGAGCTCCTGGCTTCTGTGGGTAGTAGATGTTTTATCGTACAGTTGAGCTGGGTGAGAATGGACGAAAGGGCAGGAAAAGGAGCTGAGTGTGTAATTGTGCTTTCCTTTCCTGTAGTGTGTTCCATGGGAAACGGTACGAGCAGACTCTATAGTGCTCTCGCCAAGACACTGAACAGCAGCGCTGCCTCCCAGCACCCAGAGTATTTGGTATCACCTGACTCAGAACATCTGGAACCCATTGATCCTAAAGAGCTCCTTGAGGAATGCAGGGCTGTCCTGCATACTCGACCTCCCCGGTTCCAGAGGGACTTTGTGGCTCTGAGGACAGATTGCCCCAGTAGCCACCCACCTATTAGGGTCATGCAATGGAACATCCTCGCCCAAGGTATGCCTAATGCTTTGTGCCTGAGCAGTGCACTGATGTGTTAGGTGGAGGGAAGACACATGGAGGGAAGATGTATGGACAGATGGAGGTCTAGGAGAATGGGGTAACTAGGGCAACATGAGGAAGTCTCAGAGGGGAGGTTAGGAAAGGGAGTTATCTGGTTTTCATTAATAAAGCTAGCAACTCAAGATTCTTTACCTTCCATGTTTGTGGGCTGTCCAAGTACAATGAAAGTCTGTTATGTTACTTCCCAACAGATCCAAATTTAAACAACCCCAACTTTTATTAATTAAATGGAACAGCTGCAAACTTTCTGTTGTCCTCCAGCTTTCAGTCCATAGCACTGAGATAGCATTCTTGCAGAGAAACTGAGTCTACTGAATGGGTGACATGTAGAACTTTCTGCAGGGAATGGGTTCTGTGGTTGGGTGATGGTGAGTCTGGGTATTCTTGCAGCCAGATTCTTACCCATATACGTCTGTATAACTTGAGGCCAGTGTTCTATAAAGTTGGAGAATACGTGAAAGCTTTCTGCCTTCCCTTACAAAATAGCCAAAGAGATGTTTTAGCTCTCTGTTCATTAAGATATTACTTTATTATGGTTAAAAGGATTCCTTTCCTGGGTCTGCTGAATTATAAAACAGATGTGTCAATCAACTCTGTAGCATTGCCTTTCATGTAGCAGTTGAAATTTTGAGAACAAGAAACAAGGGCCTCATTTTATTGCTAGAAAAGAAGGGAATATTCCCTGACTTGCCAACGTGAATCTTCTATTTTTCCAGCTGTTCATCTATAAGTAAGAGAAGCTTCCCATTAAAGTGGGTTCCATTCATTCTGAGTGGTGTCTATTTTGTATCAGTTCACCCTATATTTGAATGGCTTTATTATAGTCAGAGTTAAAATTATATAAATATATTTATCTCATTTGACATAGTTTATGCCCCTGGGACTGCAAAGAACACTGCTTCCTTAATTAAAGCAAAAACTAAAGATCTTATGTCTGGAATATAGTTACATGAAATAGTTTTAATACAAAAGAAAAGCAATTAATTGCTTGCATTATCCAGATGGTAAGAGGCTGTTTAGTTTGGGTAGGTTGATGTAGTTTAGACAGAGAAGAGCCCCTGAAAGCATCTGAAGCAGAGGAAGCCTTGTGAGTGTGTTGAGTAGTGTCAAACCTAAGGAGATTCCCAGGGACTTTGAAGTCTTTGTAGTAGCTGACAACTGACTGGCTTTTTTTAATTTCAGCTCTAGGAGAAGGCAAAGACAACTTTGTACAATGCCCTGTTGAAGCACTCAAGTGGGAAGAAAGGAAATGTCTCATTTTAGAAGAAATCCTAGCCTACCGGCCTGATATATTGTGCCTCCAAGAAGTGGACCACTATTTTGACACCTTCCAACCACTCCTCAGTAGACTGGGCTATCAAGGCACTTTTTTCCCCAAGCCCTGGTCACCCTGTCTAGATGTAGAACACAACAATGGGCCAGATGGCTGTGCCTTGTTTTTTCTCCAGAGCCGGTTCAAGCTAGTCAACAGTGCCAATATTAGGCTGACAGCCATGACGCTGAAAACCAATCAGGTGGCCATTGCCCAGATCCTAGAGTGCAAGGAGTCAGGTCGACAGTTCTGCGTCGCCGTCACCCACTTAAAAGCACGTACTGGCTGGGAGCGGTTTCGATCCGCTCAAGGCTGTGACCTTCTCCAGAACCTGCAAAACATCACTCAAGGAGCCAAGATTCCCCTTATTATTTGTGGGGATTTCAATGCAGAGCCAACAGAGGACGTCTACAAACACTTTGCTTCCTCCAGCCTCAACCTGAACAGCGCGTACAAGCTGCTGAGTGCTGATGGGCAGTCTGAGCCTCCCTATACTACCTGGAAGATCCGGACCTCAGGGGAGTGCCGGCACACCCTGGATTATATCTGGTATTCTAAACAAGCTCTAAGTGTGAGGTCAGCTCTTGATTTGCTCACTGAAGAACAGATTGGACCCAACCGACTACCATCCTTCAATTACCCTTCAGACCACCTGTCTCTAGTGTGTGACTTCAGCTTTAATGAGGACCCTGAAGGAGTTTTATAAATACTTGTCTGTGTCTTTTTAATCACAAGAGTCTTAACCAGGGATGTTTCAGGAAACTGAAATACGATAAGAGGTTGCCTGAGGAAGGATTCCCAATTTCTCTCTCTTCATGTTTCCAGCATGCCCTTGGGGAGGGAATCCCATTAGTTCACTAACTTTTTCGATTAAAACCCACAGCAAAAAAAGGTGTTTGCACTCCAGTTTTGGCTTGTATTGTTTTGTTTCCCTTAGTATTTACATTTTGATAATTTAAGGGCATTATAAAATCTATAAAATCTCAGACTTGCTTGAGTCCTCCATAATTAACAATAGGTATGCAGGAGCAATTTCTCTAGACAGCATTTCCAGTTATTTATTTGTGAGTTTTTAAATGTCATCAAAAATTATGCATGGCAATATTTATTTTTTTATATCTTCATGTAAAATTAATAAATTACAGCAGTATCAACATTTTAGAACCATGCAAAACACGTTATAGAGAGTAATTTATAGTGACAATCTTAAAGCTTTAAAATGTTTGCGTTTGGGGTCTAACAAAATAGTGGTGTACAAAGGAACTATTTCCTCAAGGGGTTTTTGTATGTTTGTTATCTGAGTGGAAGAATCAAGTCTCCCGGATATGTTCTTCATACATAACCCTTGCTATGGTGCCACGTGCCTCATTATTTTGTTTGTTAAAGAGATTCCATGGTCAGTCTGTCTTCATTATTTAATCACATTAGGCATTTTATATTTTTCCATTAGAATGCTGTTGGTATACATTTGAGATTACTTGAAGTCATTATTTGTACTGGAATGTGCTTTTCACAATAATTTGGGGGATGTTACGTGGCAGTAACTAAGAACATCAGTGGTACCCTCTTTTCAGAGATGGGAAACTAGAAAGCCTGTTAGTAGGGCTGTCATTGAAATTTCCTAAGACAGCTAGATGACTGTGGTTTGGACGGCTAGAAAGAAGAGAGGCAGAAAGATAACCTGGAATTCTCTTGTATCAGAAATAAAAGTGGTAAAGATAACAGGTGAAAACCCTTTAAAGAAAATAAAAAATCCCAGCAAAATAACTTACTGGTAATAAATTCATAAATATTTTAGTCTGTGAGTTGTAAATATTAAAGATTAATAAACGGTCTTTTAAAGCTAGTGCTTGTAATATTTTTGTCTTTTTAGCCGCCAAGAGAACCTGGGTGTAGACTTGATCTTTCGATACTATTATCGATACTATCCATTTACACAAAACCTTCATTTTAAAAGTGGACAAAGGTGAGTCTACAGCTGCACATTGAAGGCATCAACCCTATGCTTACATATATCTCTCAGCACCAAAGTTGGAGTTCTCTAAGGTGGGCTCACCCAAATATTCTGCATTGGAGCTAGTTTTGAAAACAAATGAGGTCTTGAGGATATTGTATATACACAATTTGGCAAGTAAATCTGGGTAAGAATTGAAAGCCAAAATTATGTTTGAATTTCATATGTCGTCCACAAGTATGAATGGGGTATAGGTTGAAGGTGGGGTTAGGGGTGGCTGGGAGTACCCTGGAGCAAATGAAAGACCTCTGGAGATAACCTGTGATTGAGATGTCACTGTATATTAAGTCTTAGCATTAAGAAAAAAATTCACAATGGAACTCTCCTTATGAGTTATCCTTCAGAGTTACCATGTGCTAAGCTGCCAGTGAGTTGGCTCCCAGTACATGAGGGCCCCATGCACAATGGGGTTGGGCTATTGTGATCCATATGGTTTTCAATGGCTATTTTTTGAAGCAGATCTTCAGGCCTTTCTTCCTAGTCTGTTTTAGTCTAAAAGCTCTGCTAAAACCTGTTCAGCATCATAGCAACATGCAAATCTCCACACATGCAAATCTCCACTGACAAGACAGGAGGTGGCTGCACTTGCGGTGTATTGGCCAGGAATTGAACCCACATTTCCCTCACGAAAGACAAGAATTCCACCACTGAACTACCACCTCCCCCAGAGTTATCATAGCAAGAGACCACATATTTCAATGATGCGTTTACATTTATCTTTGTTTAAAATGTAATTACGTGAACATTTTGTGTAAAGATTAAGAATTTTTTAGTATATAAATCTTGTTAGGTTTCACTTCATATTTTTACTTCACCTTAAGTCACCTTATGGACTATCAGAGTAGCCTGAAGGCATGATGGTAAATCACAAATAACAGTAAATAACAAATCTGTACTACTCGGACTATAAATTCTAGATTGTTAAGTATCTTCCATGCATGAATTTCTCGTATTCTATCCCTGTGTAACTTGGTTCGGCTTTTTCTTTCATATCCCATATTTTGATTGATGTTATGAGAGTCGTAAGTTGTGCATATCTGAAGAGGGGTGACAGTGGCCATGGATTTGTTTCTCCTTCATGCCGGCTTTCAATAGATTCCATTCTACATGGTGACAGGAATGACTGCCTCATTTATTTAAACAGCATTATGGTGTATACATTGGGAGAAACTAACATTTGAGTTCCTTTGACAGCTTTACATATGCTCTTACAACTATTAATTTATAGGTAGGGGCTCAAATAATCAAATAATTTGACCAAAGTGACAGCTCACAGTAACAGAGTCAGGATTCAAACCCAGGTCTGCCTTGATTTCCAAAGTGTTTGCTGCTTCTCCACCACCATGTTCTCTTGGCCTCAAGTCAGTACAAATGGGAAGAAAAGCGATATTATGGGGAAAAGATTTGCTCATTTATAAATGGTAAGTCAAACACATCAAAGTTGACATACGTCAAATATTTTTCTAGTACACATACAATACTGGAATAGAATCAAGATAGAGGGGCTGAATGATAAAATTTTAATTATCCTAGTAACAGTAAAATCTTGGCTTTGCCAAAAGTGTTAGATACTGTGCATACTTTGAAGGTAGCTTTTTAAGGAAGCAACAAGGAGAGCAGCTACTCTAGTATTGTTTCAAACTAAAAGAAGAAACTGATGCAAATATTCTGCATCTGAACCATTTTTTAAGACATCCAAGATTTTATAATAATGAAGGGAATGTTGCATATAATTAGTGTGTCTTGGACTTGAAAAAGATTTCAAAGATTTTTTTCTTTTAGTTCTAGAGAGAAAAACACATGCTCACAATCATAGTTGATTTCAATTTTAGAAAAGGAAAGGCGTCCAAAAAACGAAATGTGCTTGCATAAGGAACTCTGATGAACTTTTTTTTTTTTTTTTTTTT